CCTTAGCTCTGACACCTGCCTCTTTTGTGCTTTCCTCTCCTACTGTCTCCCTGTGGGATTACCAACTGTGATTTCTGCCTTTCATAAAATGTCTGCGTCTTGACTATACTGCAGAACCTGATTTAGGACTACACTAACATTATGTATACTTTTTTTCTGTCTCATACGTTGCCTTTGTTACGGATGATCAGGAATGGCTCATTAATTCTCATATCCTTGGTGCCTACAATGGAGCCTGACATCTTGTATGAACTCAGTTGATGTTTCTTCAATGACCTGAATTATTTTAAAAGATTAATACATGAGCCAGGTATGGTGGCACACACTTGTAATCCTAGTGCTCAGAGGCAGAAGCAGGAGGATTATTGCAAGCTTGAGGCTAGACTGGTTTAATACTAAGTGCCCAGCCAGCTAGCTAGTCAGGGCTACACAGCAAGGCTGTGTTTTAAAAACAAATGGACAAAACAAAGACAAAGGAAAACAAAGAAAAAGGCCAGAATTGAGCAATTTATTAAATCCTTAAGCTTTAGGCTACTTTATCAGTGGATTCTGTAGCAATGTAATTCTCTCAAGAAAGTCAAGTACAATACTTACTGAATGAAAAAGAGAAATAAAAAGGAAAGGAAAGGACATGACTGCTCCTAAGTATGGAGGAGGAGGAAGGTAAGAGGGAGAGCATTGGTAGAGGGAGGGGCATCAGGGAGTCCCAAGTGGGCATGATCAGGCTTAGTTGTGCCATGTGGGGAAAAGGGGAGAGAAGAGAGAGAGAGGGTAGCAGGGACCAGGTGCTGTAGCCAGGAGGCCCAAAGGTACAAAAAGGTACAAAATGTCTGGATTATATGGGGAACAGGAGCCCAGTTCCCTGGACTGGAGAGTAAGGAGCGGGGTATGCCAGCCAGGAGAACCCCATAACAGGTAGGGACTGAGGGATTGGCTGAAGAACCTGGTGGCTAGGTCTGCTTTCCTATGTTAAATAGGCACCTCAGTCATTTGTCCCAGGTTTAAAACCCAACACTTACTTTTAAGCTATATTAGAATACAATATTTTGTTTAGTTCTAGAACAATCATCAGTGGAATAACAGAACAGTCTGCTTTGATTCTGTGTGGAATGCACCTCTACTTTCTATAACTGAGGGTGATAATGCTTACCTTCATAATGTTTCTTGAAGATCACGAGTTGGTAATTGGTTAGAACTACAAAGTTTGTTAGCCAAGAATTTTAAAAATGGAAGTCATCCAAAGAATCCACTTGCAACATCACTTAACAACATTTACTTGGAAAACAATCTGTTTATGTTCCATTTTTCATTGTGTGATATGGTTTACAAAACCAAAGCATAGAGCCCCCAAGTCTGGTTAACTATTGTACAGCTATAAGAATCTGAAAGTATTGTCTAGACTTTAAGTTTAGATTACCAAGACAAAGAAAACTTGAATATAGTGCATATGCTTAATTTTTAGATAGTTTCTGTAAAATAAATGTGAATAAATTAAATGACATAGGCAAGTAGATAAACAGACAAAAGCAGAACCATTTTATTGCTCTGTAACTTTCAAACTCCCCTGTCGCCTGTCCAAATGTCATATCTTCCCCATTTTCTAATTCTCAGAGAAAAATGTCTTTTCTTTTCCAGTTTGATTTGGCTGCTAGGGTCCTTAAAATCCAGCCCTTCTTTCATTTTCTTCCTCCATTTAGAAAACTGTTAGAATTTTGAGTGCCCAAAGCTGCTGTTTCTTACTCAAAGCCTGCTCTCACTGGGTCATCAGTTTGAAGTCGTGTCTTCTCACACATAGGCTCCAAAGCATTGATATTCAATTTATGTTTTTATGACTCTTATTTTCAGTGTCGCTATTGAAATTCTGCTCTCATAGCTCATAATGACTGTCTAGTTAATAAGCATTCTTTTTTTCCAATTTTATGCATATTCTTGGGATCTCATTTTTGTTATTTCTTTTGCATCTGGCAATCAGTTCTCTTTCCTTGAGATTCTGTCTTGGTTTGAGAGATGCTGTGCTCCTGTCTGTCTTCAACCAATATGCTGAGGCCCTGCCTGCTTGGCTTATTGTTAACTCATCCTCGCAGGTCATTTATGTGAATGAGCTCATGAGTTGTATCCAGTCTGTACGTTTTGAATTCCTAACCAGAACTTCTAAATGCTTCTCCATGGGATATACTGTCTTGATTTTCTCATTAGCTGTCTAACATTTTCTGCCTGGAGACTTGGGTTCATTCCTCCTTGCTCTGGCTTCCTCTCTAGAACTTGTACACGAATTCAGTTATCAGTTCTTCCCATGTTCTCTCCAGCAGTGAGTTCACCTGTCCCTTTTCCTTCCCAGCCCCTTATCTCCTCCAAACTTATGTCTTCCACTTCCCTCTAGTTTAACCAGATCTTGCAGCTCCCAGAACATTTGTCTTAAATGTGCAGTTCTGAGCACACGTCCTTGGTCAAGACTTTCCAACTGTTTTGTCCCTAGAATAAATCCAGATGCCTTCACTTAGTATTCAAGAACTTTACAGTCTGAGTCTTCTAGATGTGACCTCTCCCCACTCCACCCTGATCTTATATCAACCTGTTTCCATAATTCAGTGGACTCGAGCCGTGGTTCCAGCTTTGAACCTTGTTCTGTGTGCTAGCTGTGTGACTATGGACACACTTCTGTCCTGGTTTCCCCATCCGAAACATGAATCATGGGTGTTGTGACAGTAAACAGTGCTTGGAACAATGCCTGACATGCAGTAAGTGATATTTAATGCTTCCCTGCACCCATTTACTGAGGCCTACACACGTGGGCCTCCATGTGCTGTAAGTTCTAAGGCCTGGGGAGCATGCGTGAGCTCTGGAGCTCTGGAGCTAAGAGTGTATTATGGTATTGGTCATAGTTTGCACACTCTCGTTCCTCGCACAGCTTGTCTTCTCTCTGGTAGAGCACAGGTGCAGCTGCTTCGCTTTCTTCCTTCCTGTGAGTAGCGGTATGGCATATTTTGTATCCCCACACATAGTAGTTGCTCATTTCTTAAGTGAATGTGAAGAACTAGGTGTTTTCATTGATCTCTATTAACTCTTCAGCTGCACACACAGAACAATAGAACATTCCACTTTAAGCTCCCAATAGCAAATGTCATTAAAAGTACAAGTTTTGCCATTGTGATATGTTACTTTGTTTCTTAGTCTGTTTTACTAAGCATATTCTAGAATATATGGCCTTCCTGTAATATCAATTGAAAAATATCTTGAAGTTTTTGTTAAGAGAAATATCCTATGTACACTCATAAGTGGGTATTAGACATAAAGCAAAGGATAACCAGTCTATAGTCCACGATCCTCAGGAAGCTAGGAAACAAGGAGAACCCTAAGAGAGACATACATGGATCCCACTGGGAAGGGGAAACAGATGAGAATTCCTGAGAAAATTGGGAGTTTGTGGGGTGGAGAGGAGAGGAAGGAGGGTGGAAGGGGAGGGAGATGGGAGAAGGGGAGGGAGGTGTAGAATATGAGGGAATGGGATGCTCAAGAAGAGGGAAGGACAGGGAAGGAGAGAAAGGAAAGAGATATCTTGATAGAGGGAACCATTAAGGGGCTAGCAAGAAACATGGCACTAGGGAAATTCCCAGGAATCCACAAGGATGACCCCAGCTAAGACTCCAAGCAACAGGGGAGAAGATGTCTAAACTGGTCTTCCCCTGTAATTAGATTAATGACTGCCTTCATTGTCATAGAACCTTCATCTAGCAACTGAAGGAAGCAGATAGAGGTCCACAGCAAAGCACTGGGCCAAAAGAGGGAAGGGTGATAACATGAGCAAAAGGGTCAAGACCATGATGGGGATACCCAGAGACATCTGGCCGAGCTAGTATGAGTTCACTGACTCTGGACTGATAGTGGGGGAACCTGCCTAAGACCAAAGTAGGCCCACTGAATGTGGGAGACAGATGTGAGGCTTGGGCAGTCTATGGAGCCACTGGAAGTGGGACCAGGACGTATCCCTAGTGCTTGAACTGGTATCTAGGTGCACATTCTTTTTGGAGGGACACCTTGCTCAGCATAGATATGGGAGAGGGCCTTGGTCCTGACTAGAAGTGATGTGTCAGACTTTGTTAACTACCCATGGCAAGCCTTAACCTTTCTGAGGAGTGGATGGGGGAAGGGTAGGGAACAAGGAAAGGAGGGAGTGGGAACAGGGATAGCTATGTAAAATCAGAAAAGAATGTATTAAAAAATGTACATAAAAATTGGAAAATGTAAAAAAAAGAAAAAAAACAGAAAAAAAAAGAAAAAGAAATATCCTAGTTAGGCAGCAGTGGCACACACCTTTAATCCCAGCACTCAGGAGGCAGAGACAGGTGATCTCTGAGTCTGAGGCCAGCCTGGTCTACAGAGCAAGTTCTAGGACAGCCAGAGCTACACAGAGAAACCCTGTCTCGAAAAACCAAACCAAACAAAAAAAAGTTGGGAGGTGGAGTGTGGGGGTCATCCTAGGGCATGCTTTCAAAGGGACCATAACTCCACATTTCTACCTTCTTCCAAACACGATTTTAAAAATTTCTAATGTCATCTGTGGTGACGCACACCCTTAATCCTGTCACTTGGGTGGCAGAGGCAGTTGAGTCTTGTCCCCAGACACAGAGCTATATTGTGGGACCCTGCCTCAAGAAACAAAAGAAAACAAAAATTCCAGGTACTCATCTAAGGTTTTGATTCATAACTTAGTTTTTCCTTCTCTTCAAAGAACTGTACATATCCAAAGTTGGTAGCTAAAAGGTATTTTTTTCTAAGTAATAAAGTATCTTTCCTTTAGCGATGCTTGCTGTTTATCCGGCCTTCACCAGAAAAGCAGAAACTGGGCAGATGTCTTACTGACAGACCCAGTGCTATCAGTCCTAGTTTACACCTCCCATACGATGAGCCTTGGCAGGCTATCTTAACAATTATTTTACTTAGGTAGAGCTCTGTCAGGATGGAGTAAGAATCTTCTCTTTCTAAATAACAAGGCCAGCACATGCATTTTTAAATAATGATCAAGGATTTTTTTTTATTCATTAAGTTTCAGTATCATTACAGAAAATGTTATGGTACAGAGTTGTTTAACATTATTTGTTTTTGCTCTTGATTTCCACATGAATGCTGGTAACACTAATATCTGTACAAGATCAGTCTTTGATTTTATTTTATTTGTGTTCTGTACAATTTTAAATGTGTTGGTTAAAAAGGCTGTCAGCACTTAAGGAAGCATTTTCCCCCGGTTTGTTTGTTCAAATAAAAAGTATCCAGTTACCGCCTGCGAGTGCGGTGCCAGAGGCTGCTAGGGTGAGCGTCCCCGGGTGCTCGGCAGGGACGGTCCTCGCGGCAGGGCGGGCCTCCGCGCAGTCACTCCTCTTTTGGCACAGTGCACATAAACACGAGATACATGATAAAGAACAAGCAGAAGCTCTCTGTAAAGCAGTTATGAAGCATACTAAGAAGGGAAACCCCAGTGTTGCCTATACTAGTATAAATAAGCAGACAGCCTTGATTAAGAGCATAAGTAGTTGTATTTAAAGATGAGAAAAACACAAGTTCTGCAGGCACCTACCGCTGTCTACTAAAAGCTATCGCTATCAGACCTAGCATTGAACACACAAAGCAATTTGCAAGAAAGGAAAATTTTGCTTTGATATAATCAGAATAGAATTGTCTGTTAAGATTTATTCTTAGGTGTGTTTTTTCTTTAAAAGGTATTTAAGTTCATCTGAAATATAGTTCAAGATGTTGACTATACAGATCAACTTTTATCCAGATCAGAAAAACTAGCTGTGCCGTTGCATATTACAGGATACAGTCAATGATATGTGGACATGCATCAAAGCTTCTCCTGTTGGTGACCATCATAGCCGTCCAATGACCATGACATCCACCACCTCGCCCTTGTGGAGTTCCACGTACTGCTCTGTCTTTGGAGGTAGCATCAATAATCCATTGGCGCTGCGCATGCTCATCAGACGACTGCTCATCTGATTACCTGGAATGAAATACTCTAATTACTGCAGCACAGACATCAGGAAGTACACGTGGAGAGGCCAGCAAATGGAGTGCAGGGCTCCAAGGAGAGGGATGATCAGTCTTCCCAGTACCTTTTCCAGGTGAAATGTATGTTCTAGATCCTTTACCTTCTCAGCAAAACTTTAAAAACAAATATTAGATGTTTTTATTGAAGAAAATAGTTGTTTATAGCCACTCAAAATGCCACGGAAATTCTCACATCAGGGTAAATTTGTATTTGTATAAAAATAAATCCTTTTAGAAACTTAAGGACAGCAATGACAGCAGCTACCATTTAGGTGCTTTATGGTCATTTTATGAACTCTCTTATTTAACTCTTACAAGATGCCAAAGGTCTCAGGTACGCTGCCTAAGGTCCTGCTAGTTAAGCTGGTGGCCAACTTGCATGCAGACCTCTGTGATGACAAAGGCTTGTGAATCACTCTTGGGGATGTCTGCAGCTGATACAGGGCCTCTGTTTAAAGGTAACAGTTTCTGTGGGGCTGCATCAAAACTTGGGCAAAATACGACTAGAAAAGATGGAGACAAAGGTTGAAAGTTGAGAGTGCTATGCTTCAGAGTCATCAACATGGCTTTATCCTTAAAATTTATCAGTGCCTAGGGTATAATAGGGTCCACAAATATCGTATTATAAATTTGACTTTTCCCTCACATTTCAGGATAACAGCTACTGTGTTCTCCTTTCTTGTCCACCAGTCATGTTCAGAGGGCTGCTTGACCAAATAGATCAAAATCTGTAATTCTACTTGTATATTTCAAATGTTTATCTAGAAAACATGGCTCAGTGAAATAGGGAAACAATGTTTAAGAATAACTTATTTCATCTAACCTTTCAAAAAGAGAAGTGTAGAACAATTATTCATTTTATTATCGCCAAGGAAAAGACATGATTGGCATAGCTGTTATTTGTGGTTTGTTTTTCAGAATGAGTGCACAGGCATCCCTGGGTGTTCAGGTGTGAATGACTGACCTGTACTCTGGGCCCAGGGCAGTGGTTCTTGGTGATGCCAAGTCAGTATACACCGGTGGTACTCTGGGCGCGGGTCCAGTTTTACGTCACATGACAACTATAGCATAAAGAGGCAAAGATATTTAATTTGGTCACCTAATCATTTTTCAGAATTACAGAGAATACAGTGAGCCTGGATAGATAATATCCTTGTTTATGATAAATGAATTGCTGTCATTTCCATCGTTTTCAATCCAGGAAGCTCAGAGGTTGATTGCTATTGTAAAGAAAGAATGCAAGAAGACGGTGTTCATAATGCGGGAAAGGACAGATTGTATGGGTTGGAGTGATCCTGGACCTAGGAAATGAGAAATGGAAGCAGTATCTTAATATTGAGAGGGAAAGCAGTAGATCTAACCAACAAATTCAACACCCATCCATCCATCCATCCATCCATCCATCCATCCATCCATCCATCCATATTCACTGTAGATTTAGTATGTGGTAGGAATTCCTCACCTACCCATTTATAGGACAATTTTCAATATACAAGGAAAAAACTTTTTATGTTGCTTATGTAACCCTTGCTGGTAGCATAGCTGCCTATTGCTCCTAAATTATTTTGTGCTTTTCTCTTAATTTCTCTGTCTCTGTGTTCTTCAGTGCTAAATTGCAGGAACCGCTTACATGGCTGTTTTGCAGCCAGTTTTAAGGAAGAGATAGTAGATATTAAAATGAAATAAATGTGAGGATTCCTGAGAGCTTTGCAGTATTGGATAAACCATGTGTCTCTTAGAGCAATGTGGATTTTCCCTGCTTCCTCAGCTCAGCAACTGTGAAGATAGTAAATTCTCCATTACTGGGTTGACTGTGCAAATCTATTAGAACTTTGACTTTTTGATCTGATCATAAATCTGTTCATACTCGCCTTCCTTCCTGCCCTCCTTTCTTCCTTCTTCTCTCTCCATCTCTGTTTCTGACTATGCTAACAATTCTAAGAGTATTTCCTTGTGATCCTGAAAGGAAGCTCTACTTGGGGGTGGGATGATTTGGTAGACAGAACACTACGCCCGGCTAATTGATTTTAAATGATTTTAGGGAAAGAAGATGCTCTTATCTTCTTTTATTCACAGATTCCCAGTAATAGAAATATAAATGTTAAGGCTGACGATGGCCTAGATTTTCAAAAACATTTTAATTTTATGTATATGTGTCCGTGTGCACATGCAAATGCCACAGCTACATATTGGTGTCAGAGGACAGCGTTCAGGAAGTCAGGTTTTTCCACCATGTGGGTGTCCCAAGGATTGGACTCTGGATGTCAGGCTTGGCAGCACGTGCCTTTATCTGCTGAGCCATCCTGTCATTTGTCTTAGACGTTTTTATATTGTGTATCTGGAATAATATTTTATTACTATTTCTTCTTTTGTGTTTTAGTTATTTATTTTTAAAAATAACCTATTTTTATTTCATGTACATTTGTTTTTTGTCTGTGTGAAAGTGTTGATCCCCTGAAATGGAGGTCCAGGCAGTTATGAGTTGCTGGGAATTGAAGAACATGTCCTCTGGAAGAACAGCCAATGCTCTTAACCACTGACTCATCTCTTCAGACCCTCTTCTGTGTTTCACATTCTTCTGGTCAACTAAGCAAAGAATTGTGTCATATGTAAATTACTTTAAAACTTTTGAAAAGTAATAGCTTGGTTCTATAGGCTATGATGTCAGGAAAGTCATTAGTAACACAGAAAATGTATACTTGGTTGAGTAGTAATTTAGTAGTAGATTAGTAGTGTGGCTAGAGAAAGGGACTCTTATTATAGTTATAGCCCTTGTCTGACTAATGCTGTGTTGAACAGCACTTTCACCTTCTCCTGAAGTGCCATAGTCTTTTAGTCCTTTGCCCTTTTTGAATTTTTTGAAGAGCAAGCACATACAAAGGAGCAGGTTTACGTCTGTCCTCTATGAACTTCACGAGGGAAACAATCTTACCTCTTACTCCACATAGGTCTAGCGTGTGATGCAGGCTGTTTTCTGTTTGCTGACTGGTTCTTAGGGCCCACTAAATGTTTGCAGACTTGATCTCTGCATTCTTTTAAGTGCTTTTAAACTTTAAGACACTGTATTTATTTTTAGGTGTATGGGTTTTTTGCCGGTATATGTCTGTATGCCATTGCATGTACATTGCCTGAGGAGAAGGCCAGAAGTGGGGTCAGATCCCTAGGACTGGAGTTACAGACAGTTGTGGGAATTGAACCTTGGTCCTATTATAGAACAGCCATTATTTTTTACTTCTGAGCCATCTCTCTTTATGTTGGACTGAAATAAAAGTAAATTTTTTTCTCCCACATTTCGTCACAAAGGAGAGACTATTAATACATTTATGAGAAAATGAATATGAAATTCTAGGTATCTGTTTTAGGCCGTTAGTAATTGCTTGTACTAAGCTTCCATTTTTGTTTCTGCTCATTAGGAAACATTACCCTGGCTTTGATGATGGTTGGCCGAGGATCCAAGATACCCTGCATCTTTCTCAGTGCAGGTACAACAAAGAGGTTGCAGGTGACCACAGCTGATACAGGATTCCCTGAAAGTCAATCAAACAGTTATTTATATTACATCACATAAATCTGTCAGGTAATTATATCTGTGTATATGGTCAGCTGTGATAGAACGTGACAGAAGTGACCAGTCATTGTCTATTCTTCTTCTGAATCCAACAGAATGACAGAGTAGAGGGACACTTAACCACATGCTGCAGAGGGTAAGACCCGAACCTTTTGGTTTTCCATGAAATACAAAGATGTCTGATACTCAGATTTTAGATACCATTTCTGCTTTCCTGAGAGCCTTGCACTGAAAGCCATCGCTAACATTGGTGTATGAACATTTGTGTGTGCACAGAAGGTTGTGGGTGAAGAGGTAGACATTGAACCCTGAGCTGCTTTCATATAAAGCACAATACTCTCCTGAGTACTTACTCAATTTTAATAAATTAAAAATCTTTTAATATAGCTCCTGTTATTTTTAAAGTATTTCTACTGTAGCAATATGATACAAGTAAAAGAAAATATAGACATGGAACTTTATGTATAACTATTTTTATTCAGACATATCTTTAAATTTAAAATATGGTACCAAACAACTCAAGCTGTAAAAGATTTAAGATGAATAAGATTATGGTGTGAACTGCAACTTCAACTCCTACAAGGAAGCTCAGTTCTCAGTGTATCTGAGGAACAGGGCCATGGTGACAAAACCTCAGAGGGGACATAGGATTGGCCCAACGTAGAGCTGGTGTCCTTGTAGAAAACAGAAGGGGTGGCAGAAGTATGTGTGTCAGAGGCAAGGCCATGGGGCTCAGAAGGCAGCTGACTGCAGAGCAGAGAGACATCAGAGATCAGCAGTGGCCTTAGAATTTAGAAACAAGTTCCCATATTTCCACTGTCCACCCTGGGGTCCACTTATGGCAGTGGAGCAGCTGGAGTGGACTGTGGCAATATCAGGGATCCATCACTCCTCTCCAGGAGAAGGACTTCTAGATGTGTCTTGCACTTCAAAAGGAAGGGTGGCTATGAAAGAAGAATCTACAAAGAAGAGATTTCTGTTGTTTGTGTGGTGTCCTTAACTAACGCCCAGTTTGTACTCAAGCTAGACAACATTGCAAGCCCCAAATGTTACTTTGTTTTGATACAGTCTCTGAGCATTCAGGCTGCCCTTGCATTTAAGGCAAACTCAGTCTCCCAGATGCAGGGATTACACTACCAACTCTTATGAATCTGACTAAACTCACCCACAAAGCTTCATCTTTCTCTCCAGTAAAGATGACATGACTCTTCAGGTCCATTCTAGTTCTAAAACCCATTTCTATTATACGGTTGTATGTGATGATGTTGGTTGGCACTGGTAGTGGGGAACCAGCTGTTCCTTTTCCTTAAGTGCTGCTAATTCTGTCCTCAAAGTAACAGACAAGGGCCAGGCTATCCAGTTACCAGATAAAACCGCACCTTCAGTTCTCTTGTACCAGGAGCTAAGGAGGGATTTTTACCCTTGATCAGCATATTTATACTAATCAAGATTGGGATGGATGAGGACATTTTCATGCATACATTTTATGTTTGGTTTTCCCTCATCGCTCTTCTCTTCTCTCCCTCCCCATTACTGGCATTTCCCTTCATCTTGAAAAACAGCATCTCTTCTTTAAAGTCTTTCATTTTTAAAATCTGGATTCTGCATATAGAGAAAATAGTATTTGGGATTAAAGGCATGTACCACCATTCCAGCGAAAATCTAAATTTATAGACCTTTAGAATATAACAAGGGTACCTCTGAGGAGGATATTTATAGATATAAATGCATATATATATATGTATGTATATATCAAAGTGTTCTCAAAGAACTTAGTATTTATCAATGCCTTAGGATAAGAACAAACCAGACCCAGAATCAAGACTTAAAAAAAAATACAAAGAATCCATTTTTTAAAAAAACCGATACTTCAATAATACAAATATAGTTTTCAAACTATTAGCCAACTAACCAGAAAATAAGAAAATCCAAAATAATAAAATTGTGAATGAAAGCAGTTCCTAGTTAAGTTTGGAGGACCACTGAGGAATGGGGAAAACTTGCATTCTAGTGACTGTCTAACTAGATACATACAGAAAAGGCCTCTAACAAAGACTCAGACATTGTGAGAAAAGCCATGAGGAAACTAGGAAGAAGGACAATAAGCCAGTATGTGGCAAATTAATAACCAACATTAAGAAAAAGGGATAAAGCTAGAAGTATGTCCTTAACTCCAGAATGAGGCAAGGTGTCCACTCTCACTCACTGTATTGCTTAGAAGTCTTAGCGAGAACAGAGGCATAGAATGAGGCAAGGTGTCCACTCTCACTCACTGTATTGCTTAGAAGTCTTAGCGAGAACAGAGGCAAGCGAGAAGAAAAGTGCAGGCTGGAAAGATGGAATCAAATTATCTTGTTTTATAGATGATAGCATCCTAAGGATCCACCTGAAAACCCTTAGACCTGGTAAATTCAGCAAAGTAGGATACAAAGTTCTATACTTTCTATGTACTGTAATGAATATGCTGGGAAAGAAATCCAAAGGAAAAAAGCATTCACAATTGCTTCCAAAGATAAAAATTAGTAAATTGTGACTGTTTCTGCATAGTAGTTATGACAATGAATAACTTTTTTTTTGTTGTTATCTATCTTATCTAAGTTTTTATAAAGAGGGTTTAATTTTATTCTGTTTTTCATTTTGGTTTTTCAAGACAAGGTTTCTCTGTGTAGATCTGGCCATCCTAGAACTTGCTCTGTAGATCAGGCTGTCCTCAAACTCACAGAGATCACCTGTTTCCTGAGTGCTGGGATTAAAGGCATATGCCACCACTGCCTGGCTCAAAGGTTTAATTTTTAATTAAATTAATTTTTATTTATTTTATTGTGTGTATGTGCCATAACACACATGTGAAGGTCACAGGCCAACTTGTAGAAGTTGGTTCTCTCTCTACCATATGTGTCCAAGGCTTTGAATTCAGGTTTGCAGCCTTGGTTGCTGGTGCCTTAATGCACTGAGCCATTTTGACAGTCCCAATTTCCATGTTTATACAGTGAACATGTAATTTTAAAAAGTTAAAAATTGTAATATGTAAAACTCTTACACTGGCTATAACTCGTTAAGATTGGTGAAAATCTTTAAGTATATGGTCTTCAAGAAAGCAGAAATACACTCTAGAAACTGAAAGTCCTTGTCAGAGGAATACCTTTACTCTAGGTAGGATCAGGACATGTGAGTTGTTGCTGCCCTCTTTTGGTTCATCCAGGAGCAATGGAAGGTGTTTCAAATAGAAACAGTGATTTGAAGAGAACTTTTAATTTTGTAGTTTCTGTGAACATTCATATATCATCAAGAATGGGTTTCCACAATAGTGATCTTTGTTCTAGTATCAAACAGTCTAATCCACATGTTAAGTTGTGCATATGGATAAAGCAGTCTCTTTAAGTAGACAGAATGAAGCTAGGAAGAAGAGCTCATTTTTTATAGAATAGTTTTCAGAGTATCTGAGGGAATATTAGAGGTCTTAGGTTTAGCTGTATGCCACAGATATTTAAGGTTGCTTTACTTATGTTTCGTCTTAGTATTTTCTGACTGGCACAAGTCTATTTTTATGCTTATGGAATGAATAGGGTTTAAAACATTAAGATTTAAAATTCTTCTGCCTGTTTCTTTTCTTTTAATAATTCTAGGATCCACTTAATATAAAAAGCAAATAAATTGTCAAATCCTCTAAGATTTGTGAGTCTGAAAGGATAAGTAGTTACTTTTCTTAAGAATTGGTGTTAACAAAATGGGGGTTTGAGCAGAATTATTACAGGATTTTAATTTTTAAGATTAGGTCTTTATAGCCAAGGCTGGCCTTGAATCTGTGGTGATCCTCCTGCCTCAGCCTCACCAGAGTTGGAATTATAATTAAAGGATAGTTTAAAAAAATAACAAGTAGATACGTAAAGTTCTAAACTGCTTTAAAATTGATCAAGATTCACAAAGACTTAAGATGCATGGCTGCAAGTAATAAAAACCGAATTAACAAATTCTTAGAAACTGGACTACCTTGGTTTTCTACAGTCTGAACATTCAAGTTTCTGCTTGAATGGGAGTTAGGGGGCAATGCTGATGTCAGACAGGTGACATGTGAACGCGGGCTGAGGCGTACCAGGATCAGCAGCTCTGCCTCCTTTCCCTAATCACCAAGAACAGAAGCACAGTTGTCCTTGTTTGCATACACATAAGATCATGCTATGTAGCCCTGGCTGGCCTCATTTCTTGATATTCCTGTCTCAGCCACCTGAGTGCTGAGATTACAGATATGTATTGCCATGCCTGGCTATATGTGATCTAGAAGTTTCATGTTTGATAGTACGTCTAGTTGTGAGATCTAATTAGAATGTATATATCCCTTATATTTGGATATCATCTTAGGCTGAGGACTGTGTCCTGGAAGAACATTCTGGTTGGACTAGGTGTTAGTCCTGTTCTATAGGTGAAGAACTAGCATCAGAGAAGGTAAGTAGTTTGCCAATTAATAAGACTATTCAGATTATAAATCAAGTGATGTTGACTAGAGACTGGCCATCTGAGAAACCTATTTTTTTTTTGGTCATTTTTCTAGAAAATGGAGAAAACAATTTTAATGATTCTTACCTGGTAGTGCAAAAATAATTTTTCTTACACCATCAATATCCAAAGTTGCAAATGTTGTTGGCAAGCTAGAAAAAAAAGCGCACTTGTTTGTGATTGCTAAGTAACAGAAAAGGTAAAGCCAGTGCTCTAATTTTCTTACTGAGTGATTCACTTACCATAGGAAACTCTTCTGTTGTCTTTAACCCTTCCTACTTTGAAGTCACTTGCTTTAGGTCATCTGTTTTCAAGTATCCAAACTCCCAATTTTCTTTTTTTTTTAAAAAACTTTATTTTTATGTGCACTGATGTTTTCATAAGAACACTGGGCTGTTCTATAAAGTGTAATTTCAAGTTGCTGTGTTTCTGTGCTTCTCACTTAGGTTATTCCATACTTGTAGAGTTGTACCATCAATAATACCAACATCAATTACTATTATTTAAGGTTAATATTTATGCATCACACTCATTTTATATAAGTCTCACAGCAACAGCAAAAGATGACATTTGTCATAGTATCTGGTAGATGTGAAAGCTGAATCTAGGAGATATTAAAAATTTGGCTCGGGTGGTCCTTGGACTTCCCACAGGGCAGGGAACCCTGATTGCTCTTTGGGCTGACGAGGGAGGGGGACTTTATTGGGGGAAGGGGAGGGGGAGGGAAAGGGGAGGCGGCGGTGGGGAAAAGACAGAAAAAAAAAGAAAAAAGAAAAAAAAAGAAAAAGAAAAGAAAAAAAATTTGGCTCAATCTTACTTAGCTACTTAGATTTTGTAAAAATAAATATTTTGAACCGTCATTTTAACTTTAAGATTCATATTGGAAAAAGTCAGCATAGGATAATCTATAATAGAGTTAGTACTTGGACTTTGGGACTTCTGTTTTTTCTTATTCCCTGATTCTTTGCTATGTAATAGAACAAGGTTAGATTACAGGTAGGCAACTCAGCCATGATTATTACTGTTTGACAAAAGTAAGATCCCATAAGCATTTCTGAGAACAACTACACTTGCTATAGATGACCCATGGCAGAGCTTGGCAATATTTGACTAAGTATTTTTTCTTTATATTTTTAAGATCTCTTTCTCCCCCTGTATCCCTCCATCCTTTCCTCCCTCCTCCTCTTCTCCGCCCAGTGTGTGTGTGTGTGTGTGTGTGTGTGTGTGTGTGTGTGCGCGCGCGTGTGGAGGTCAGAGGTTGGCAGTAAGAGTCTTCTATGCTCTTCACCTACTTTTTGACGCAGGCTCTCACTAACCTGTAGCTCAGTGACTGGCATCCTCCTGTCTGCTTCCTGCCAATGTTTGATGTGGTACTGAAATCTCAGCTCAGGTCACCATTCTGTGTGGCAAGCAGTTCACTGACTGAGGCCATCTCCCCAGTTGCCTGAGTATCTTTTTCTTTAAAACCAAAGATATAATTGTCATAATTGTATCTGGAAAGTGCTGTCTGTGGAAAGGGCAAAGCTAACTTATTTGATTTTCTGTTTCTTTTTGTTCCACCAGCAAGTAGAACAAACTACTTCTAAGTTCTTTTTACATTTAGCTACATGTAGGATTCTGGCCAGTTAAAGAAAGACAACTTTTTTCAAACCACTCTTTTATAGCAAAGTAGCTGTATTTAAAGGGAATATCAAGTATAAGGGCACTTTAAATTTCTTTACATCCTAAAGACGTAATTTCTTCCAAGGTACTCACTTAAAAAAAGATTTTATTTACAACAGAACACTTTAACCTCAGGCAGTACTATCACAAGGGTCTGGCTGCTGGAAGTGTGTTAGCTCTGTAAAGCCATTTTCTTGGAATCTAACACATACTGATTATTCTGAAATTAGAATTAACCAAATTTATATATTGATTGAGGTCCCAAAGTGAAGGATTTTAGGGGAGAAGAAGAAACAGGAGGGACTGAAGCACTACTAAAGTTGAGAGTGGTTAGAATGAACTAGTGAGTATAAAATCACCATCACAAGCTGTACTTAACATCACAGATATCACACATATAATTTTCCACAGCTGAAAACAAGTTATATCAATTTCCTTCCCTACAAAGGCAAAAATCAAATTTATGTTTGACATTAGTGAGAAGCACACTGATAAGCTTTTGGGATGTCTTCTGTCTCTAATCAAATCACTGCTGGCCAAAGGGACAGGGAAAGTTCAGCACACAACAACAGCATATGCTAGGCTGTTATTGACTTATTTGGTGCTTGTGTATGTGCATGCCAGCATGTATGTGCATGTCAGAGGACAGCTGCAGGATACAGTTCTTTCTCTTTCTTTCTGTTATATGGGTTCTAGTGATTGACTCTGGGCCTCAGGTTTGTTGGCAAGTACTTTTACCCACTCAGCGAGCTTGCTGGCCCCAAATGTTATTCTTAATAGAATGATCCAAATCTCATAGTTTCAAAACCAAAAGGTTTTTTTTTTTCTTCTAGTAATAGAAAGATTGGGGGCACGTTCAATAGCCATGAACAGAGATATACTGCAAAGAATCCTATACAATTGAGGAGAACACCATAGGGCTAATTTTCTTTATTTTTTCTTTTTCTTTTTTAAAGATTTATTTATTTATTATGTATACAATGTTCTGCCAGAAGAGGGCACCAGATCTCATTACAGATGGTTGTGAGCCACCATGTGGTTGCTGGGAATTGAACTCATGACCTGGGGGGGGGGGGAAGGAGCAGTGCTCTTAACTGCTGAGGCATCTCTCCAGCCCAGGGCTAATTTTCTTTGAAGATTTGTTTTATGTATATGAGTGTTTTGTCTGCATATATGACATGCACCATGTGTATGCCTGTGTCTGCAGAGGCCAGAAGAAGGTGTTGGATTCTCCTGGAACCAGAGTTACAGATGGTTGTGAGCTGCCATGTAGGTGCTGGGAAACCAAGGTCTTCTGCAAGAACAGTGTGCCCTTAATGGCTGATCCATTCTTCTAGCCCTTTTAGGGTTACGTTAATCTTAGCTTTGTACTAAATGAAGTTAAATTATGAAGGTAAAGCCTAATCTTTGTCCTAGAACTGAAACCGGTATTAAAAAAAAAAAAAATCTTGAGGATGTTAGAACATGATGTTACTTGATTTTGGGGAACTGGGTTCAAAACCTACTTTATTTCCCAGTACAACAATGGTAAGCTCCATGTCACTCTTTCTCATGGTTCATGAGTCCCTGTCAGAGTATAATCCTAAATTAAAGCATCATGATTGCTTTCTGTGACATCCTGAACAAGTGCCAAAACACTCCTCCACACACTGAGGTATGAACAGGTACTCTAAGAGGGCAGCGTTCTTGCTTGAAGACCAAGTGTTTTATTAACACTGCTATCAGGCATTCTTTGAGGATTTACAGCCTGCAGGACCTTCTCCCAGCGGGTCCTTCTTGGGAGTTACTAGCTTTTAGGAAATGTGAAAATCTTCCTGTATGACTATTTTATTTTCTTCTTGGAAAGGATGGGAAGCAATGTTAAAAACCATTATGAAGTATTTATGTGAAGCAATTGAGTCTGGACCTAGCCTAGAGAAACATGTTCAGTAACAAGTCAAGGAAGAATCATTCTGCCTGCTTGACAGGAAAAGTGATCCAGTTTCTCCAACAAGTCAGTGGCAGAAATAAAAAACAAAACCAAAACACACCAAGATAACTACCACCACCACCACCTCCTCCTCCACCACCATCATTACCACCCCACCAACCCAAATCTAACAGCAAAAGGTTAGAGATTTAATCACTAAGTGAAAAAATGTGTGGATTTGATTGGATTCTGAATTATAACAACTATTAAAAAGCATTCTTTCTCTTGACATTTAGGAGACTTTGATACTGATTATGATATTAAGTTATATGAAAATTATTTATTTTTTAGATAAGACAATATTATTGTATTTATATAGGTCAGTTTTCTTGTTCTTCTGATTTAAGAAAATGACATGCTGTCTAGAGTTAGCTTTAAAACAATCTAGCTTCATCTCCCCAAAAAGAGGTTGGGGAATTGATAAAGCAGATATAACTGCATGCTGGTAGTACTGACTTCAGTCATAGGCATGTGTTTGGGTTCATTGTTTTTCTACTTCCCTGTATATTTTAGAAATTTCATGCTAAACTATTCTTAAAAAGAATGAAGGTGTTGGGAAAAAAGAGGGAAGGTTACTAGACATGGTAATTAAAAAGGAATCAAAGTTAGAAAATTGCTTTGCTTTGCTTATACGAAACTCATGGATTCATAAAATGAAATCTTATTTCAAACTGAACTGAACATATGAAAAGAATTCTAGTACTAAAATATTTTCTTCATTAAAATGAGTAACCCATAATAAAAACTGTAAAAACAAAGCCTTTAAAACTTAATTAGTTAAAACAATCCAAATAACCTAATATATTATATAAATTATTTTCATACCCTGGCTTCATAAAAACCCTGCCAAAATGGATCTGCGCATGAAGATCAATGTCCAGCACCTGCTTGAGATAGTCCTGCAAACAAGAAAAACAGTTACTTTATTTTCAGACATTTTAATATCCGACTTTTAACACAGTAATGGAAATAAAATTGATTTATGACTGAGAGGAACATCTTTGCTATTTTTATGAAGTTGTTTTGCTTAACTCAACTAATCATTCCTCATTCACTCATTTACTCATCTAATAATTATTTTTGGGGTGCTTTGTGTATGTAGAGTATCAGTTGAGGCTCAAGGGAATATTACTCAAATAAAAGAGATATTTTCCTGCCTCCCTAGAAGGTACATTGTAGAGCCAGAGGTGATGCATAATACCTGTAATCCCAGTACTTGGGAGGAAGAGATGGGAGAATCACATGTTCAAGGCCAGCCTGGGCTAGATAGTAACACTGTCTTAAAAACATAAAGAAAATTATAATCTGGTAGAGGAAACAAGATAATAACTAGAATAACCATAGAAATGTTTTTACTTGATGGGTTTTGTCTCTGAGATAAAATTCTATGACCAAGAGAGACCATTAATAAAGAAGTCTTAGGAAGTTGTATTTGGTGTGGCAAGATGTGCTCATGGTCACAACAGTGGTACAAATGTTAGGGGTAACTAACTGTTTTCTGATTAGATCTAAGCCATGTCTAAGTGGAGGAAACACATTGCTGGTATGATGAATCTGGCTAACAACCATGGCTGGGGAGCTTATCGGCCCCAGGATGAACCTACTATTATCATTCTGCCAAATGAACGTAGTATTAAACTGTCCTCTAACTTCATATTACTGATAGGTTAGTGCAACCACCAGGCCTCGTTAGAGAGGTTTCTTTGTGCAGTAACAGTGGTTAATGCAGCATCTCACAGCTGGCCAAAGTGCAGAGGACTGCTCAGCAACAGGTGGACCTTCCTAAGGCTCAGGGATCAGTGCACAAGTGGGGGTAGATTCAAGAGTCCACCACTAACTGAGAAACTGTAGGCAACTGATGGTTTTTCTGGGGAAGCTGTGTCAGCTCCTGGCAGGCTGACCACACTCTATCGATGGCCTGTACTCATCCGTGCAGGAGTGCGAGCCTTTGAGATGTGTCAGACCAACTCACTCTCTTCCTGTTTTCCTTCCATTCTTTTTCAGGGCGTGTCATCTCCAGACAGGGTTTCTCTGAGTAGCACTGGCTGGCTGTACTAAAACTTGCTCTGTAGACCAGGCTAGTCTCAAGCTCGCAGAGATCCACCTGCTTCTGCCTCCTGAGTGCTAGGATCAAAGGAGTGCACCACCACCCAGCTCCAACTCACTTTCTAGTACTTCAGCATATTCTCGGTTTTTAGGACAAAGCCTTGAGTTTTATTGATAAATGTCACATCAAAGAGTCCTGTATCTTCTAGCACTCTTTTACAATCCTTTGTCTCCTCAGTCAGTCTTTATACCTACACGGTAAACACTGATCGACTAGACATCTCTTAACCTTACCTAATTTCAAAGTGATATTTTTCTTCAAAGGGATATTTTTCTGGATTTAAGTTCTCTATTGGCAGTACATTTTTGAATTTTGGAAATGCTATGCTATTTGATTGTGTTCTGGGTTCTATCATGTATGTCTAAACAATCTCTGTTAATTTAATTTTCACTTTTGAGGCAAAGCGCTCTGGTGACATTGCTCATTGTTACTGGTTTTCAGTAGTTTTGCCAGGATTACTCAAGTGTGGTTTCTTTCTGGTTATCCTACTTTTGATTAGTAGAGCTTCCAGAATCTCTGGCTGGCTTTTCTTTTTCTTCCTTCCTTCCTTTTTCTTTTCTTTCCTTTTTTTTTTTTTTAAAAAACAAGTTTTGAAAAGTCTTTGTTAGGGCTGGAGGATGGTTCAGGCAGTGAATTGGTTGCTATGCAAGCTTGAGGGACTATTTTATAAAAATTTCTTCTCTCAATTTTAAGTCATTTTGCTAGAAAGCTCTGGATCATGATATATTCCTCCAGAAAAGATTTGTTTTCTTTTAGCAACCAGTTGAGGTAGATTCAGATTATTCTCCTTATCCAGGGACTGAAATAATTTTATACTGGGGTTTCAGTTCCTTTAAAGGCCGATGTTTTGTCCGTGAAGCACTACCCTTCTTCAAGGTTTTAAACTAAAGTCTGAGATATTTTCCAGATACTCTCCTCTAGGGAAAAATTTGAATGCTTTTCTTTCTTTCCTTCCTTCCTTTCTTTTTTGAGACAGGGTCTCACCATGTAGCCCTGGCTGTTATGGAACTTGCTATACAGACCAGGTACACCTGGAACTAAGAGATTCATCTGCCTCTGCTTCCCAAGTGCTGGGTTAAAGGTGTGTACCACCATGCCCAAATAAACCTTGACTTTTAAAGAATTATGAAAAATTTGTTTGCTTCATTAGCTTCTCAGTTACTCTTTTATACTTGGCTTCTTGGTCTTTTGTGCCAACACCTCCTGCTCCAACAATCCTTGGGGATTTGTGATTTTTTTCCTTTTTGAGACAAGGTTATCTATTTATGCAGCCCAGACTGGCTTTGAATTCAAGGTCCTGCCTCAGCCTCCCAGTGGTGGAATTATAGGCAGCTGCTACTATACTTGGTTTCAGCAAATGTTTCCAAATGCTTATTAAGTATCAAGAATTCTGTGTGTTGAGGATATAATGGCAGACATGCCTTGAAACAAGGAAACTATATTATGTATTCTTATTAGATGAAAACAATTCTTCAAAAGCAGATTAACAAAATAAATGCCATTTGTGGTACTTGCTACAAAGGAACAGTCAGTCACTGTGTGAGAGAATACTAGGAAGTGGGCTAGAGAATTAGGAAAGGCCATTATAGAAGGGGTGGTGACTAAGCCCTGCAGAACAAGAGGGATGCAGGCATGCGAAATGTTGAGGACAGAGAGTGAATTATGTCATTTTTTGAAAGTAACTTTTCAACGTTACTAAATAAGCTAAAATCTTTAACTGATAGTTAACTAGTAAATAATTGTTAGATACTTAAGATAATTTTTATGTAAGATGTAATACTAAATTATTGATTGCTAAGTATAGTTTTAAGTTAACAAATTTTTAAGAATGTAATTTGCTTATTTTTATATGCTATAGAGAGGTCGGAACTTTAGAAGTGACTTTGATTTGTCTTGTTTTATAAACCATGCCTAAACAAAGCCTTAGTAATTACATTTTAGTTAACTCAAGCTTAATGAACTTACATGTGTGTGGATGCCAGAGGTGGACTTAGATATCTCCCTCAATTGCTCTCCACCTTTTAAGAGAATTCTTGAAAAAGAGTGAGGAAGGGGTGGGTGCACACATGTGTATGTGTGTGTGTGTGATCATTTTAAGGGCAGGTCAGAGGCCAACTCAAGGGAATTGGTTCTATTCTTCCACCATGTATGTTCTGGGACTCAAACTAGGGTCATTAGTCTTAGAAGCAAGCATTCTTACATGGTGAGCCACATTACTGGCCCCTTTCCACCTTGTCATTATTATTATTATTAAAATTTTTTTTCGAGACAAGGTTTCTCTATGTAGCCCTGGCTGTCCTGGAACTCGATCTGTAGACCAGAATGGCTTGGACTCACAGAGATCTACCTGCTTTTGCCTCCCGAGTGCTGGGATTAAAGGTGTGCACCACCACTGCCTGGCTTCCACCTTAGTTTTTAAGTGGGATTTATCACTGACCCTGGCACTCACGGATGTGGGATTCCATCCTCCTGCCTTTGCTCTACAACTCTGGAATTACAGTGTATGCCGCTGCACTTTCCCTTGTGCTCTGGAGATCTGAGTTGAGGTCCTCATGCCTGTGTTACAAGAACCTTATTGATTGAGCTCCTCCCCCACCCACTGCATCTTTGATGTTAAGTAATATTTTCCTGTTTGGATTTATACTTATTTTGTTTCTGGTTAAAGAAACACAACAAAGAACAAATTCCCCTTACTTGGGAGTGAGCAAAACATGTCCCAAACATGTTATTTATAAGTATATTAAAAAATCTATCTATCTATCTATCTATCTATCTATCTATCTATCTATCTATCTACCTACCTACCTACCTACCTACCTATCTATCTATCTATCTATCTATCTATCTATCTATCTATCTATCTATCTATCTATCTTTTAAGTGTGTGAATGTCTTGCTTGCATATATATTTGTGTTCCTGGTGCCCGTGGAGGCCAGAAGAGGGCATGAAGGTCTCTGGAATTATAGTTATAGACTTTTGTGCATCACCATGAGGAGCTGTGAACAAACCTGGACCGTCTGAAGAGTAGTCATTTCTCTAACACACACAGAGAATCCTCTCCAGCCCCTGTGCTCATTTTTCAAGTATTTTTTGTTGTTGGCTTGAAAAATAACTTATTGGTAATGTTTTAGCCTTCTAAAATTCAGTCTTAAATTTAAGAGAAAGAAAATTTTAGAATATCTTTATATTTAAAATTATCTCCAAAGTTCCTAGGGGGCCTCTAGAAAACCACAGGTTGGTTCTTGAATCATATAAGAAGAGGTAGTAAAAACAGTTGGGCTTGTTTGAAGTGTTTTAAGAGTTTCATAGAAGGAGCTGCCTGTTTGAGAAGAGATGCTCAGGTAGCCCTAGGTTAGATTCCTAAAATTGGCATTAACACAAATATATCAGCAACTGTGATGTTTACACCAATTTGATTGGACTGATAAATGCCTAGGAACTTAGTTAAAACTTTGGGCGGTATCTGTGAGGTTGTTTCCACAAAGGATTGGCTAAGTGAGAAGAACTGTGATTTGAAGTTGAATATCATCTGAGAGAATAAAAGGAAAAGGAGCAGGCTCAGTGGTGCAGACACTTCTCTCTGCTTCCTGGCACCCTGCTGTCAGCTGCTCTGTTCCATCAGGACTTTTTTGACAGGAAGAACTGAAACCTCTAAAACAACAGCTGTAATAAAGCCCCTCCCCTACACTGTTTGTATCAAGCTTTTATGAAAGAGGTAAAAAGTGACTAACACAGTTTGCTTTACCGGAGCTCTCTAGAGATTTGATAGATAAAAAAATCTTTGTAATTTT